GACAGGAAGGTTCGTGATATTTCATATATGGTTGGTGAGCGGGTTCTGCTTCGGGTCTCGCCTATGAAGGGCGTCATGAGGTTTGGAAAGAAAGGGAAGCTGAGTCCGAGGTTTATTGGCCCTTTTGAGATCTTGAGGCGAGTTGGGGAGGTTGCTTATGAGCTTGCCTTACCTCCCAGCTTGGCCGGAGTCCATCCGGTATTTCATGTTTCGATGCTCCGGAGGTATCACGGTGATCCGTCGCACGTGTTAGATTTCAGTTCAGTCCAGTTGGACAAGGATCTATCCTATGTTGAGGAGCCAGTGGCTATTTTGGACAGGCAGATCAGAAAGTTGAGGTCAAAGAACATAGCTTCAGTAAAGGTTCAGTGGCGGGGTCAGCCGGCCGAGGAGGCGACTTGGGAGACCGAGCAGGATACGCGCAGCCAGTACCCTCATCTTTTCACTTCTTCAGGTATGTTCTCTATGCTCGTTCAAGGTCGAACGAATGTTTAAGTGTAGGAGGATGTAACGACCCGGCCGGTCGTTTTTGGAATTTACGCCCCGATCCCCCATTAACTGCTTTCCCTAAGTTCATTTCTGCTATTTTGGTTTGCCGGGACGTTCGGTATTAGGATTCGGAGTGTTTTCGGACACTTAGTCCCTAAATGAGAGTTTAAGAGTTGAAAAATGGTCCGTATTCGGAACAGTGTGAAGACGACCTCGGAATGGAAATCCGATGGTTCCGTTAGCTCCGTTAGGTGATTTCGGGGTTGGGAGCGTGTTCGAAATGTTATTTGGAGGTCCGTAGCTCATTTAGGCTTGAAATGCCGAAGTTTGGATTTTTGAAGTTTCCGGTCCGATAGTGAGTTTTTGATCCGAGGGTTGGATTTGAATTCCGGAAGTTGCTGTAGCTCCGTCATGTCATTTGGGATGTGTGTGCAAAATTTCAGGCCATTCGGACGAGGTTTGGTTAGGTTTTTGATCGAAAGCGTATTTGGTTAGAATTTGAAGTTCTTAGGCTTGAATCCTTGATTTAATCGGGTTTCCGGTGTTGTTTGAGTTGTTTTGAGGATTGGTGCAAGTTCGAATAAGGTATTAGGTGGTATTGGTGCTTTTGGTTGAGGCCCCGGGGGCCTCGGGATGATTTCGGGTGGTTAACGGGGAAATTTTCTAAGTTGTTGCAGCTGGTATGTTTTCCCTTCTGGTATTTCTGCTTCTGCGGTTTGGGAACCGCAGAAGCGGCTTCCTCATCGCAGAAGCGATTTTTGGCTTCCCCTCAGAGACCGCAGAAGCGGTCATCTTTCCGCAGAAGCGGAACCGCTGGAGCGGTCATGTGTCCGCAAAAGCGAAATTTCCCCCTTTAATGAGAAACCGCAGAAGCGGTTATTTTGCCGCTTAAGCGGGACCGCAGAAGCGGTCCCTTGTCCGCAGAAGCGGAAATGTCTGGGCAGAAATAGGAAATTTCGAGGGTTTAATTTCATAAGTTTGAAAATCAATTTTGAGCTCGGGCAAGGGCGATTCTGAGAGGATTCTGGAGAGGAGATTATTGGGTAACATTTCGATGATCCTTTCTAATTATATTCTATCATTTAGTAGTTAAATCCACCTTTTAAATTCGAATTAAGTATCAAAAATGGAAGAATTTGGGTGAAAGTTTATTGACTAAACTATTGGGTTTTGAGGGAGCATTCGACCTCCGATTTCTGAGATTTTTACATGGTTAGACTCGTGAGAGTACGAGGTTTCTGAAAATGTGAAAATTATTCGGTTCCGAGACGTTGGCCTGAGGGGCGTTTTGGTCATTTCACCTATTTTTGCGCCTTAGCTTTAATTTCAATAGTGGAATCAGTTGTTTGCAATATTATTTACGATTTGTAATTTAATTGAATAGATTTGGGCCATTTGGAGTCGGATACTCGTGGCAAGGGCATCGTTCCCTAGTTGACTTCGCACTGGTTCGAGGTAAGTGGCTTGCCTAACCTTGTGTGGGGGACTTCGTCCCTTAGGATGTGATAATTGGTAACTGAATGCCTTGTACGTTAGGTGACGAGCGCGTACTTGAGCAAATTGTTGAAACCCGGATTTTTACTTAAATACTTGATTTGGATTCTCTTTCATATTTGCCTTACTTTACTTGCTTTTATAGCCTGTGCTAGCGTAGAAGAGCATGTTTAATTGATCCAAGCTGCCTATTTGTTTAAATTGTCTTAACTGTGATTACGTGGAGCATGTTAGGCCAGTATTATTTGATGCCTTGTATTGTTGTACTTAAATTTCTGAATAATTCATTGATGTTGGTTGCGCATTTACATTGGGACTACGGATGCGGATTCCGGGAGTTCCCCCTTGATTGTTTACTTTGGGACTACGGGTTTGATTCCCGGGAGATCCCCCTGTACTTTTATTTTGGGACTACGGGACGGTATCCCGGGAGATTCCCCTGTACTTTTATTTTGGAACTACGGGACGGTATCCCGGGAGATTCCCCTGCACTTTTATTTTGGGACTACGGGACGGTATCCTGGGAGATTCCCCTGCACTTTTATTTTGGGACTACGGGACGGTATCCCGGGAGATCCCCGCTGCAAACTCTGATGATTGGATTACTGGACGGTATCCGG